AATAAATTTTTGAATGATTAACAAATAATAAGACAGAAAGTTACATTGGAAATAAATTTTAGGGGTTGCGTTTTCCACCCCTTACAACCATGGGGTAAACCAAATAAATTACTGGCCAAGTGTCTTTTTGGTAGTACAAAACGTCAGTTTAATTTCAATATTGTAACTTTTTCAGTGCTTGTGAAAAAAATTGTTATACAAATTTAATGTACTCCTTTAAGGGGCTGTATCTTAACAAGGGATGCTCCAATGAAATTTCTTTATATGAAAGATCCTCTCTTTTTTTCGATGAGGAATCACCTCCTTGAATGTTTTACACTCATTTAGTTACACCCTGTATATTACCTATATCTGTTTGAAATTTGTTTTTTCGTTAACCAGCTGTCGCAACCCCACGAACGACATCCCTCAGAAGTCAAAACTTGTGCGAACTAAGGATTAACGAGGTCTTACCTTTTAACGTATGATTCCTAACACGGGTTGGGCGATAGCAAGTAAAAATCGATCGTTTAGCCTGGGGTTTGAACTAGCGACCAACGCGGCGGTCGATTTGAGTGAGTGAACAAAGCACCCACGTCGAACCGACCGGCTACCGACCGACTTGATAAGTAAGTATATTAATATCTATGTAACTAATCGACCCCTTCTCCAAAACGATAACGCTAAACCATAATTCAAAAATAGTAGGCACTAAATTCTCACAAATGGCTGACGTTTTTGCCTTAATATGTCTCTTGCAGTGGCGTACGAAAATTATACTAAATAGATGAGAAAAAATGATGATAAAATATATAGAATCACAACCTTGACAACAATGTTGTCGTTTTAATGCAATAATTTGTCTGAGAATTGTCTACTATTATGGAATTGTACTCTAGCCAATTTTTACTTTACACATTGCGATCCTGATTGAATTTATTCACAGGGAAGAACACGTTACTGGCCTGAGCACAGATCAAAGATGCCGCAACAATCGGGCCGCTTTGACTACAGTTTTTGTTTCAATCGACGCAATACCCGTTGTAGCTTGTAGCAGTATTCTTTGGAAGTTGAATCAGTCATGAACTGAGTTTGCTTGGACGTTTCATTCAATTTCTGGTAAATTTTTCGAAAAATAAGGTAAGATATTATTATTTTACTTTCAAAATTTAACTATTCTAAGTATGAACAACAAACCCCATCGTCGGAATGTTTTTATAAAACAAGTTGGAAATATATTAAGTTTTCAATAAATTAATATATCGTACTCGAAGAATAATGTCTCAAACAATTTGTTTGAAACAAATGCAGAAATTAAAGTTATGTTAGTTTTAGAAAATATCTACCTATAAATGTAGTATATGATAGGCATAAAAGTAATTCGATTTCCCAAATGAACGTACATACGCGTTGGACATGATGAACTATTATTTTTTATTGTGAGAAAACTTCATTTTTGCTGTTTTGTGAAATTACTTTTGAGATAGTGGCATAGTTTTTTTACCGGGGTTGTGTTTCATTGAGGGGGAAAGTTCGATAGCGAGTTTATGCAACAATACCTAAGAACTAAACCCAATACCTATTAATTACGACTATTTATAAAAAAAAGTTTGCCGTTCATACACATGTTGACATATCCACATTTATTCTTCATTTAATATGTTATTATACTAAGTACTGAAAATAAATCCATATGAACAAAAAAATGTTCCACATTCTTTCATTAATTTTTTCCATTATTATAATTGGTAAAAATTCAAAATGATCGTATCAAATTTTCTAAAGGTCCATAACATCTTTGAATATTCTAGTTTGGAGCAGGCTCATTTGCGTTTTGACCTAAGCTCTTAGTTATTACTACTAGCTACTACTACTATATAGGGTGTTTCAAATTCGGTCCTCACCATTGGGATCTCGGAAACTATGAGAGATACGAAGCTGGTTAAATTGAGGTAAAGTTGCGCATTTACCTGACCAACAATATGCCGTTAAGAAAGTTCTGAAATTCCGAGTATATACGGAGATATCCGGAAAAAACAGAAATTTTGGGAAAATGGTTTTTATTTTTTTCTGGTTTTATTTTTTGAAGGATTCGAAAATAAATTGCACTTCCACATTGCCACTTTTCCCTGCTACAAAAGGGCGTTTTCAGATTTCCTATCCGACGTTTCGTCTTCCGGACACCATCATCAACTTTATGTTTTCTTATGGGCGCTACACTGGATTCTTTCTGTTTTAAATAGAACCAGATTTTACGTTGACTTTCAAATTTTTACACTCAATGACATTTTGTTATTGCACAAGTCATTGAATTTTCAGCGAAAAATGGCTTTCACGAATGAAGAAAAAAGAAATATGATACAAATTTAAAAAAAAACATAGAAACAGTGTTAGGACATCGGACATGTATTTAAACTTGTAGCTCGAAATACGAGATTCACATCAAATTATGTTCAGGTTATTGAATCAACATCTTACCTAGTTTGGTTCATTTGAAAAGCCAATGAAAAAATACGGAGACATAATCAACATTCAAAATTTGATAAATGAGGTGTGTATGAGGTAATCAGACATTGTGTCCTTTTCAATGAAAATAGAACTTTGAACAAATAACAATAATTAACTAAAATGTAAAGACAAAAGTAAATCACAGCAAATGCTCAAACTCAGTTCATGATAACGCAAATGTGCCTTTCTTCGAATATTATTCACTGCACGATTAATTTCCCTTCTCCTCAAGTTTCCAAACTCTCTAACAATGTTGTGTTGAAGGTACTCAATATTTTGATATTCCCTCTGACCATAAATTCCATTTTTCAGTTTACCCCATAAGAATGTATCCATAACACTTGAGTCTGGAGACCTTTCTGGCCACCTCACCGGCCCATTATTCCCTATCCATTCATCACCAAACCTTTCAGTCGGGTAATTAGATACCTACTCGTCTGGTAGTGTGCGGTGGAGCACCATCATGTTCTTCGAAAATCGACATTAAAAATTGGTGATAGGTTTCTCCATTGAGAATTTCGTCAAATAAATGAGGACCCAAAATTATATCTTTGTAAATTGCGGCCCACACGTTAATACTAAATCGCACTTGAGGTCGAATTTCTTGGAACTGCCAGGGGTTGTCTATGCTCCAAATATGTTCGTTATTTCGGTTGAATATCCCACAATTCATAAAAGTGCTTTCATCTGTCCAAATTACATTTTCCAGGAAAACAGGAAAATCAGGTCTTCTTATTAGCCAATTACAAAATTCTAATCGCCTCTCGGGATCACCTGGATACAATTTTAGAGATATGTTTATTTTGTAACATTTTAAACCGCATTTTTGAGATGTCTCCAAGCACTTGTATGACAAATATTCATTTCGGAGGAAATTTAACGTGTAGATTTTTACGGGTTCATGTTTATCTGCAAATTATTAATTTTTATTGAAAAGGACACAATGTCTGACTTACCTCATTTATCAAATTGTCTTTTAAGTTTCCTGGTCCATTTTGTCTCCGTATTTTTTTCTCGGCTTTTCAAATGAACCAACCTTGGCGAGATTTTGATCCAATAACTAGAACATAGTTCAAGCTGGTTATCATCTTTCGGGATACACATTTCCCATGTCCTAACACTGTTTCTATTGTATTTGTAATACATTTTTATCATATCTCTTTTTTCTTTATTCGTGAAAGTCATTTTTCACCAATAATTCAATGACTTGTACAGTGACAAAATGTCATTGAGTGTAACAAATTGAAAGTCAAATTTAGAAACATCAAATTCAAAACCTATTATAATAAGAATTGATTTTTTTCAATACCTCCAATTTTTCGAAAAAGAATGATAACTTATGATACATCATTGAAAAAGTAAAACCTAGTTCTATTCAAAACAGAAAGAATCCAATGTAGCGCCCATAAGAAAAAATAAAGTTGATGATGGTGGCCGGAAGACGAAACGTCGGATAGCAAATCTGAAAACGCCATTTTCGAACACTTCGAAAAATAAAACAAAAAAAAAATAAAAACCATTTTCCGGAATTTCTGTTTTTTCCGGATATACTCGGAATTTAAGAACTTTTACAACCGCATATTGTTAGTCAGGTAAATGGGCAAATTTGCCCCAATTTAACCATCTTTGTATCTCTCATAGTTTCCGAAATTCCAATGGTGAGGTTCGAATTTGAAACACTCTGTATACAGTCCTCCTCAATACAGTCTTCAGACACGGTTTTATCTCTATCAGAGTATTGGTACATGAGATGTTTTTTTTTCTCTTGAGACTTTCTTCACGAGATGGAGCTGTTACTAATTAACAATCTTTCTCTTAAGGTGCGTATTCACCAAAAAAGCGAGCACGAGCGAGCATGAGCGAGCATTCGTGTATATTTGCTCGTGTTCGTTCATGTTCGCTCGTGTTTGCTTGACATATTCAAACCCGAAAAATAGTGACACTAAGCAACCCCCTCGGTGAAAGCTTTGACGATTTTGTCAAAAAACCCTTCAATCTATTCTACTTTTAGTAAAATCACTGTTTACTCTTACGTACTTTCACATATTATATTCTATCGCCCTGTATATCATCTGAAAAATACTCCATGACAGCGTTATCATGAAATAAAACAGTTTCTTATAACTCTTCTATATTTTTAAATACAGTCGACTTGTTTATTTTGCGCCTTAAATTCACTACCGTCAACAAATCAATTCTTTGCTAACAATGAATTCATTCAAATTTCGTACTTTGAATATTTTTCTTTTCTATTCTTTTTTCATAGTAGATAGATATATCAAATCAAATTTATGTTCTGAGACCTTGTTAAATAATTCTGTGGTGTAAATATTATCATGTTTCCCATAATTTATGAATCGTAAATACTTCAATAGAATAAACATCAGTTTAAACTTTCATTTCGCAGAAAATAAAACCCTAAAATACCAAAGAGATTAACATTCCCAACCTTTATTGTCACATAATCTTCTTACCTGCTACTGAACTACCTACCAATAATAACGAACCCCTATATGGCTGTACCAATAGAGATGCCCCAGAGAAGAATGTTGAATTGGTTACCACCCTTTCAGAAGGATCAAATAATGGGGCACCGTCACAATTTTGTCCAGAATAGTTTCAATCTAGTGTACAACTGTGAAGTTATGACAATGGAGGGCAAACGTCTGATTACAGAGTGTATAAGGTTTCAAAAAATCCTGTATCATCCCATCAAAAAAACTGAGTTTGTTCCAAAAAATGGCTCTGAACTTTTCGTGAAGAATATTCCCTTCGACGCTGAGGAAGATGAGTTGGTCGATTTTTTCGAAAAATGTGGTGAAATATTTCAGTTGAGACTGATGATGGCAGATGACGGAGTTTTAAACAGAGGATTCTGCTACGTGTCCTATATGTCTCCAGAAGAAGCAAAAAAGGCTGCAAAGGAACTGAAATGTACCGCATTTCGGTCAAATGTATTCCTCAGTATCGAGAGTTCCTTGAATAATTGTCGAATATTCATAGGAGGAATTCCCACCTTCAAGACTAAGGATCAGATCTGGCAAGAACTGGAAAAAAACGGGGTAAAAAACATCGTAGACGTCATCATGTACAGGCAAGTTATTTTATTTTTCAACAGTCTCTATTGAACAGGAATTATTATAAATGTATGACAATCTCATTGAACGAATAATGATGGAAGTGGCAACGCCGCAATGCTGAAAATATTTTAGATCGATAGAACAGGTAAGGAAATGTGAGAGGTGAAATTTTCAGAAAAAACATGTTTTGCGTTTTCCAGAAACGTCTAACCTATCATCGACCGTGAGTCACGCTGTATGCTAGTGCCTTATTTGCGGAAATCGAAAATGTGTTTTTTTTTCTTCGAAATAATTGAATACAGAATTACAGGATCAAATTGTGAACCGGTATAAAGTACAATAGGTGAGTGAACAATGGAACATCTGAATTGTATGATTTGTTTTTCACTTTCATTTCTCTGAAAGCTCATTCATAAGGGATAAGCATAATAACTAATGATTGCTAACTTCAAATCCACAATACCAGTTTATTTTCCTTATGCAATACATTTTAACAATGAGAATTGAGTTAGAAATTGTGCATTATCCACAAAATTATACTTATACCGCATTTGGGAACCGAACATTATGAAGATTATAATGGATAATAATAATGTTACAAATTTATATTCCCGATGGTTAAATCAATATTAGAGCGTAAATAATAGGTACTAATGAATTTTGTTGATAGAAAGACATTGAAAAATATACGACAAAATGTTGTCTCATCAAATTGTATCATGAATAGTTTAATTGCTCATTATGTTTATTTTCATCTGCATATTTTTTCACAATCCGCATCACATGGAGTTTTTTTTATTAGCCTTATTCGAAATTTGACTTTGCCGTCTACCTCTACTTCAATCGAGATGAAAACAAACCAAAAAAAATGCATTCACGTGTTTCCCATTATCTGTCAAATTTTTGTTTTTCCAAAAAATCCAAACGTGTGAGGTTATTTTTCAAAAAATCGAAAAGTTATTTGAATTGTTTTTTCAAATGCCATTTTCAGTCCATGTGCAAAATTTCAGCTACATAAGATGATTTTGATTTTTTCTTTTTTTTTTTATTAAAATACAAAACTCTTTCAAAATAAAACTCGGCACAATCTTCATAAAACTCCTTAGTCTTGACTATTCTATATTTCAGGTATACATTTTCTTTAAAGTACCACCATATTAAATGTGTGTTTCTACAAAATCGAAATAGGACTATTAAAATTGATCACAGGTGATGCTCACAGTTTTGTCTTTAACCCTGTATAAGGAACTTTCATGAAATATATAGCTGTAAAGGAGTTTGTCTCTGAAGTAATATCAAGAAAATTGAATGATCTTCCTAATATTGATGTGTTTTACTTTTAGATACAAACTACTTCTTCAAAAATAGATATTTCATGATCAGAATCAAAAACAACTGAACTTTGCATCACCTGTGACCAATTTTTAAAAGTTCTATTTCAAATTTGTAGAAAAAAGTATTTTTTTTATATGGCGGTACTTCTAAGTAAACGTTCCTGGGATGAGGTGTGGTCAAAAAAAACTAAGATGTTTTATGTAGACTGCTCCGAGTCCTTTGCATCAGTGAAACAATTTACAAAAAATAATACTATTTGAGAAATGATTTTTAGTTGTTTGAAACTGTTTTTCAATTCAATGGTTGAAATCTGTTTTATAGATTTTTCTAGGTTTTCCTGTTTCATCTAGACGGGTCTTAAAACATTTCAATGTGACAGAAAGTATTTTTTGTTTTAATTTCTCATGCATCATTGAATTGAATGAATTAGATTTGATTTTAGTATTATTTCATCCAAGAAACTTTTTCAAATCTTCTTTTGAAGATCGAAAACTGAGAATATGGACTCAATATATCATTGATTTTACTAAATATATACCGGGTGTCAACGAATCTATTAGACAATTCATAACTTCTAGACTATTAGGTGTATCAAAATGAGATATGGCATAGGGAAATGATATGTGAAGAGAATAGTTTTCGCGTATTTTTCACTTTCCGATCATTTCCGATTTCACAGGACATAGCTCCCGTTCTAAATTTTTAAATGGAACACCCTGTATATTGCAACATTTTTGGATTTCTGAGACAATTCTGGATCAGAATGTGACATTTTCAAAAGTTTTTACGCTTACTTAATTTTTTAGAGTCAGGTCTTATTTGTAATCAAATCGCAAATAAATTAGTACCCACCGTTAGATTCGTTAAAAAACCTCTTTTTCGGAAAGTGCTTGTCAAAAAATGGTCATTTGAAAATTAATAGTTAGACACAGACATGTATTTCGCCAACTTGTCTTATTCATATCTAACATACTAGTCACTAAAAATCCGCGATTGTAATTTTCCTTAGATTTGTTTACGACCGATCACGGCCACCTAGATGCAATTTCAAAAGTGACTCAAAAAACATCAAGTAGGCGTAAAAACTTTCGAAAATGTCACATTCTGATCGAGAATTGTCTCAGAAATCCAAAAATGTTATAATATACAGGGTGTTCCACTTAAAAATTTAGAACCGGAGCTATTTCTGGTGAAACCGGAAGTGACCGGAAAGTGAAAAATATGTGAAAGTTCTCCTCTTCACATACCATTTACCTATACCAAATCTCGTTTTAATATACCTAATAGTCTAGAATCTAGAAGGTCGGTTCGACGTGGGTGCTTTGTTCACTCATTCAAATCGACCGCCGTGTTGGTCGCTGGTTCAAGCCCCAGGCTGAGCGATCGATTTTCACTCGTTATCGTCCAACCCGTGTTAGGAATCACACGTTAAAAGGTTAGACCTCGTTAGTCCTTAGCTCGCACAAGTTTCGATTTCTCAGGGTTGTCGTTCGTAGGGCTGCGACAGCTAGTTAACGGAAAAACAGATTTTAAACATTTTTTTTTTAATAGATTCGTTGACACCCGGCATAAATCAATGTGTATTCTCAATTTCTGACACAAAGAAGAGGCATGTCTCCACAATAATGATTATTTCATCAGAACTGCATCTCTTTACATAATGACATTTCGCAGGAGTTACATTAACAGAGCAGAAAACCGAGGATTCGTTTTTGTGGAGTTTCAAACACACGAGCAAGCTGCAAGTTTCCGTGTTAAACATGTAGATTCGCTGAAATTATGGGGAAAGCCAGCTATAGTTGATTGGTCTATACCGATTCCAGTACCTGATACATCAGTTTTAGAAAGTGTAAGTTATAAAATTGTAAACATGTAAATAAGTTGTCTGTTCAAAAAAATAAGGTGAATTTTCATTTCACCCAAAAAATATTTATTCATCAATTTCTATTTTGTCCCTTCACTCAGTCAATCGGCCTATGTGCGAGTCGATGGTTCAAGCCCCAGGCTGAACGCTCGATTTTCACTTGCTATCGTCCAACCCGTGTTAGGAATCACACGTTAAAAGGTTAGACCTCGTTAGTCATTAGCTCGCACAAGGTTCGACTTCTGAGGTTTGTCGTTCGTAGGAGTGCGATTCAGTGCAGAGTGCAGTTTAGTTTTTATCTCCTCAATCGTCGCCAAACGCCGTCCTTTTACGGATCTCTTCGAACTTGGGAACGGGAAAAAGTCTCAGGGGGACAAATCATTTGTAAAAAAACACGATTTTCAATCTTTTTTACATTATTTTTTGTGCTCTTCCAAAATTTTTACGTTCATAGGAGTTTTTGGAGATGCTGAATCCGAATTTGTAAACAATCCTCATTTATAATGACTTCTAATACACTTTTTGAGCTAGTGATGCACTGTTTTGAACCTTTTGGTGTAGTAATGAATATTACTGGAGTTTTTTCCAACACCAAACAGTTGTTTTCAACACCACGATACGTGTTTCGATCACCAAGTGAATATCTTTCAGAGAAAGATCAAACCGAGTTTCATTTTCCTCTTGAAGATGATCACTTGGTGATCGAAACACGTGTCATGGTGTTAAAAATAACGATTTGGTGTTCGAAAAAACTCCAGTAATATTCATACTTTTCAAGAATAATCAACCCCATTTCCTCCCACCCCCATAACACAGCACGCCTACGAGAATGATGAGCTTTACTTTGGTCAATTTGAAAGAATTTCGCATATACATCAACGTTCCAAATATGTTCCGAAATTCATTTTAAACAACAGAGATATGGGAGTGGATTCATGAGAAGTGGGACACGCTGTATACACAGTTACAATAATTGTAACAAAGTCATCAATATGTGAGAACTATTTTTCGGGATTTTTGGCCGTGGTCTGCAGGTTTTTATGCCTACTACTGCCGTAGACATCATCAAAGCCGATGAGGTAATGTGCGCAGTGCTCTAATTGTTGTTCCCAACGCAGAAACTACAATACTGGTATCTAACTCCGGTTTTATATTATTATTGGTGGTCATGGCTTGATTTTTCTCAATGGGATGACCTGTCCTTGTTTGTGTACAATTAAGGACAGGTAGCCAGGTTTCATTAATGTTCATTGCCACTTCTTTTCTATTGAAATTATCCCTGTTTTTGATTTTCTATTGCCATACTCGTGAGAGTGAGAGAGAGAGACGCGTATCTATACTTCTTTTCGTGGTTCCAATGTAGAATGACCCATTGCAGTCATTGCAGGATGTATAAAATTCGTTTAAATTGTACCAGGCATCCGTGATCAAGTTTTAAATACTTCAAAGACTTTATTTACTGTCTCAGTTACATCTCATAAGTGCAGGTACTTTATTTCATATACACTGTGCAAAAGCCAAATGGAATAAATTCATTATTTCGGTTATTGTACATATTAAAAAAAATCCCGAAGCATGTCAAATGTATATTATAATTTGACATTCTTCAACGTAAAGATGCCACCCCTACCTTCAACCCCCTTTGAAAGACACGTACAACCCCAATTTTTTAAATGGGAAGTATAGGTTTGTGATATAGGTATCGTTTGAAAAGTCTCTTCATTCTCTATTCAAACATGTTATCGCTTTCGAATTTATTGCAACAATTAAGATAAAATAAATTAAAATCATGTGGTTACCGAAATTCGATAAAATACACTCGAACTAAAATGTAATGCAAAACGTAATTAAATGTAGAATACGCAAAAACTATGGATGTTGATTTGTTGATGTTTAAAATGTTCACCGCGAACGTCTTGGCAACATCCTAATCTCAAATAAAACTGTCTTAAAACATTATTTAATATATCATGCGTGACCGACATAATCGCAAGCGTAATTTGTTCTAAGTCATTCAAATCTGAAGATTTAGTTTTGTACACATTGCTCTATACGTATCCCCATAAAAAGAAATCTAATGATGAAAGAGCAGGTGATCACGCTGGCCATTCAATCGATCCTCGTTTCCCTATCCACCGATTGGGAAATTTGAGGTATTGCCGGACATTCACTTGGTAATGTGGTGGTGCTATATCCTGCTGTAACCATATCGTATTCACTGGAACTTGATGGTTTCCAGTATCAGGATATAAATTTGCTAAATTTGGAATGAAATAATTTTGAAGTAGTATCAAATAATTATCGCCATACAAGTTGCCCTTAATGAAAAAAGGGACCAATGATATGGTTTCCTATAATCCCTGCCCAAACATTAACCTTTATCTCATCCAGTGAGGATTTTCTGTTGACCAGTAACAGCCAGATTAGCATGACCAGATGGCCATTAAGAGACAAAGTACACTCATTAAAAAACATAACGTCCTCTAATTGGATGGTATTCTTATCCCAGATGTCCATCATTTGCTCACAAAAATGAGTTCTTCAATCAAAATCGTCTTCAATGAGCTCCTGAGTAGGTATCATTTTATAGGGATGCATTTTATTTTCTTTCAATATGTTTACTATCGATGTATGGCTAACATTGAATGTAGTGGATGCCTGTCTACTCGATGTATATGGGTTTTCCTCAAACTCAAGCATCACATCTAATTTGAGTTCATCACTCATTGCATTGGCAGCTTTTTTCATCTGCCCCACATGACCAAGCTCGCGAAACTGCTTCTCTATTTTGCTCATTATTCCTTGAGATATAGGTGGTAAATTAGAAAATTCCTCATGAAATAGGCAAGCTACTTCCTTTTGTATTCGGGTTTTATCTCCGTAACCAATCATTTGTAAAACTGTTAATTTATGCATTTCCGTTAATCTAACCATTTGTCAGACTCGAAGTTAACGAATTTTAAACTCGAATTAAAATACTGACAATTAATGTTTTAACTTACAAAACATGTTGACAAAACGTTTTAAACTACCGTTGCCTCAGACATTATTTACAGTTTTTTTGAGTATACTATCTAAAATGAACAATGCTTTGGTTTTTGCTTACTTTCTCATTATCAATACCTCAACACGAAATTTGTTTTGAGTATACTGCAATAAGTTTGGAGTGTATTTTATCGAATTTCGGTAACCACATGATTTTAATTTATTTTATCTTAATTGTTACAATAAACTTGAAAGCGATACCATTTTTGAACAGAGAATGTAGAGACCTTTCGAACAATACTTCCCAATTAAAAAATTGGGGGTTGTACCTGTCATTCGACGGGGGTTGAAGGTAGGGGTAGCATTTTTCCTTTGAAGTATGTCAAATTATAATTCAAATTTGACGTGTTTCGGGATTTTGTTAAAATATGCACCGTAACCGAAATAATGAGTTTATTCCATTTGGCTTTTACATCCTGTATAGCTATTACATATCGCATATAGTTATCACATACTAAGGCTGTATGCAAAGAGTTCTAAACATTTTCTGAATATAATTGACTTTTGTCTGTATGTTTTGAGACCTTCTGTTTCCAAAATAAATGATGAATATACATGAATCCCTTCTGTTTGTTTTGTATCTCAAAATTCTCTTCTGTAGTACGAATATGAATTTTGAAAACATTCGTTTCTACACGAACCCCTCGATTGTATTCCATATCACGGGTGTGATTCTAATTCATTCATAATATATAATTTTGGTTGGCGGAAACTCAACTACTTGAATGGAGAAAGTAATGAAAAATATACCGTTTTTAAATTTTATTGATTTTTCACATCCTAACCAATATCCGTATTGTATACTCAATATCCTTCGAAAGGCATTATTTTTGTGGAAAAGTTGACGTTTCTCGATCTCTGTTTCGTTTTGGAAGGTTAAAAATTCAAAAAACACCAAGGAATGTATACATTTGTTTTGTATATGTGAACATATAACTATCCTAAAATGTTATGTTTTTTTGTTTAAGGTAAAGATAATTTATCTGAGAAACCTGGAGGTTACTGAGACACCAGAAAATCTTGAAGGAATGCTGCTTCAATACGTGGAAAAAAAATGTCTCGAGAAAGTATATAAATTCAAAGATTACGCCTTCGTCCATTTGTCAACGAGAGAAGAGGCAGAAAAGCTGATGGTACTCTTGAAAGGTACTGCATATTTTTTGAGTTGACAGAGAGAGGAATAGATGATCAATCCTAATGCAAAGCAACAAATATAGACAAAACATAAATATGAGTATAATCAACTAAAGTATTGGCTTTACATAAACATGAACATACTCAACATTCAAAACAAGCACTTTTTCCAATCTCCAGAAATATAATAATCTTCTCGACTCGCGTTTCATCAACCAAATTGGAGCGTTCATCTTCTGAAGACGCCAACTTCGTTGGTAAAACGCGCGTCGAGAAGAGTAGTGCATGTCTGATAATTGGAAAAAGTGCTTGCTTTGAATTATTTATTTGCCAAAGGTTCCAGTTTTATCTTAACATCAATAAAACAAGTTTTTTTTTTGTTAAACGGTTTTATTGAAAAAAAGATGATAATGAGGTAGTAATAATGTAAGTAAGTAATAATGTACTAAAAACTAAAGAATAATTCGAAAGGTCCTAGGTAGGAGTCATCACACTACTCTCCTCAGCAATCTACGGTATTGATCAGGTGAAATAATAAATAAAATCGTTAGGTATCTGTTGACACCCAGTACCTATCTCTGTAACCACTTCTAGCAGTGGATGCTTCTATGGGTATCTACTTGTTTGTATCCCAAATTTTGCATAAATAAATACCATAGATTGCTAAGGTGAATGGTGTGATGACTTCTACTTAGGATCTTCCGAGTTATTTTTAGTTTATCAGATTATCTGCATCATTATTATCTTTTTAATAAAACAGTTGAAAATTAAAAATGTTTCACCTATTTTATTTTCAAGTTTTTAGTTTCTAATTTTGTTGCTGAATTATCATCCTGTTTCGTCATTTAGTGCCTCAGTATTACAATGTGATATTTAATCCGCCATTTTGTAGCTGCGACCATCTTGAATTTGCATCTTTTTCAAAGTGAACTACTGTTCTACTAGTAAAGCCCTGTCATTTGATACCCATGGTGACGTAGCTGTGAAATAATTGTAATGTCATCAAAACTAAATGTATGTACCAAATATAAGATTAATTGGTGAATAGGAAGGGGGTCAAACTTCAATTACTAAATATGACTCAAATAAACAAACAGGCCAAGCTAAATAAAACCATTTAATTGAAATCAGTTACTAGTTACATGAAAACACATGCACATGCATCAACCCTGGTGTTCCCCAAGGATCCATATTGTCTCCAACTTTTTTTTTATTGTATATCAACAACTTATTGAAAAAAATCAAGAATCCAAAATAATGCTTTGCTGACGACAGCATACTTGTCTTGTCATTCCATTTGGATTCCACGACATCGGCTACGGAGGCACATCTTCAACGGCAGCAGGACGTTGCATATCTTAATGACAATCTAAAAGTGATTTCGAATTGTAGTGAAAGTAACCTGGTTCAATTCAATGCCACAAAAACGCAGGCATCGGTTTTCTTTAAGAAGATAAATGTCTCCGAACCAGATATAATGATGTCAGGTCAGACAATTCCGCTTTCTGTTTCGATAAGTTTGTTAGGGGGTTGAAATGGACACCAATATGTCTTGGCACAATCATGTCGCTGGAATTGCAAAGGCTGCTTCTCAAAAGCTTGGAACATTGTTCCAAACCAGAAAACTCTACACAACTCAGCAACTTTTGATGCTTTATAAAGCACAGATCAGATGTTCTTTGGAGTATTGTACTCGTATATGGAGATCTGCCCCCAGACATACCCTTAAGTTGCTGGATTCCATCCAGAAAAGAGCCATCCGCCTTATTGGAGACGCGAAAATCACACGCAACTTTGATAGCCTGGAACATCGAAGAAAGGTTGAATATTTGTCTGTCTTCTATAGATACTTTCACGGAAAGTGTTCAAGTGACTTGGTACATTTGATTCCACCAAGAGCGGTACATATCAGAAATACGCGACACACTGTGACTGCTGAATGCTCATCGTTTTAAGGTTCAACTCAATACACCTCGAACTTCACTGTTTAACTCTTTCATCTGAAGAACTGAGTTTATGTGGAGTAAACTTCCTGAGAACGTTTTCCCAAATGGATTTAATCTCTAGCAATTCAAATCCAATGTGAATCGCTACTTTCGCACAGGCACCGCTCTGAGAGCGCCTTCAGGATTTTCCTGTAGTGCTTCCTCATTATCACTTGTATTTTGATTAATCTGTTCAGAACTTCAAAAGTTACATCAGCTCCGACTTAATAGAAGTATCAGCTTGACTTTTCAACTACGAACTGACACTGAATACAAGAAAGTCATCATACATTATCATCAATATGTACATCAACACATAATTAAGTTTGGGGTCTAGTAAAATAGAATACACAAATGAAGTAAAGTACCTTGGACGATATAAAGACTCAGATTTGTCAAAGAAAACTCATAGTGGCTCAAAAAAAATTCTTCTCAGTAGGAATTTTGAAAAAACTTAACCTATACACTCCAAAGGTATCCAGTTCGTTCATTATATTTCTCACTCATCTATTGCCACTTTCAATATTTAACTGTCCTATAGTTTGTTACATATCATAAATGAGCGGACTCACTCCTGATTCTTCAGAACAAAGCTATACAAAACTGCTACTTCAATCATAAATGTCCAGCCATCAAGTAATTTGTAAAAATAGATTCTCAGAAATATAAATAGTAACAAAAAGTTTCCTGTTTCTACAGTTGTTGATAGCCGAATCACACAGTTCAAACAAATTGCAATAAGTTAACTTTCTATAATTGCTAATGGTTTCGGTAATAAAGTCGATGGTGAAAGAGTAGAGGATAAATTTTTCAAAAAAATTTATGTTTTTGAATTAATTATCTCTTCAATTATTCTAGTTATTTGAGAGAGCATGATACTTGATTCTTGTGGGGTACCTCAAGGAGGTGTATTAATTATGTTATTTCAACATAACATATATGATATAAAAATAAATCATGGCTAGAACTTCGTTCGTTTACTGAAGACTTTGTATCTCCATACAATCTCAAACTGATGCCTCTTAATTGAAATTCAGTGTGATAAAAACAATGTATGTTATACACAACCAATTAAAAATAGACCAGAAAATTATGAAAACTATATTTCTTCTCCAGAATAACTTCCTTCTTTGAACACCTAGCAGTTTATTGTGCCCTATTATTTACCCTATTTACAAATAATTTTGTGATTGGTGCATTTTTATCTTGGAACGCCTCATTTTCAGATCATTATAAGGATACTCTTGTGGAAATTGAATGGGCCAGACCACCCAGTAAATATACAAGTCCAGAATATCGCCATCAGAAGATGTAAGTATTTTAATCAAGATTATACTGCCAGCCAAGATTAAAAACATAACATTTTTCCTAAAACACATCTTGAGTTTAAATTTTCTTATTATAAACAACCAATGTTTCTTGGGAAAGTTGAAAGTAGATTATTGAAAAAAGTATGGTACGGTTCGAAGACTCTAAAAGTATAAATCAGATGAGTTTGAAAGACTTGTCTGAAACAATAATTTCTAATTTCCCCTATAACTAATCACTCCTTAAAAGGATATTCACATTTGAAAATTCATGAAACTCGTTCAATCCACATTCACAAAAAATGTAAAACTTTCAAAATATATCTATTTTGATTCATAATGAATTGTTTGCCTTCAATTTACAGATGTAGTTTTTCAAAGCCACGTTCACGAACATGCTCTTCCTCATCAAATTTGTCGCAGAATAGTGATGAATGCAGCCCCTCTAGATGGAGTCCCAAGCCATTGGAACAATCTGCCAAGTCGGACAAAGAAACGCAGACTTGCAAAGTATCACAGGAATCTCCACCAATTTTATTAAATCAATTGAATATAGATAATAAACAGGTGATGTATACTTCTTATGAACAGTAGGAAAAAATACCTATCTCTCAACGAAGCTAAATGCAAAATAATGAGTTTCACACGAAGGAAGTCACCCACTATCAAGGACTATTTCATTAATCACACCAATTTACCGAGAATCATTTTTACTGGTGTGTTCAGTTTCTCTCAGCACATTGAATACTTAGTATCTGAATGTTACAGAAAAATGAACTTTGTATTAAGATCTAGCCGTGAATTCACTCACGATACTTGTTTGTTACTCTTTAACTCCATTGTTCGTTCTAAGCTGGAATATGGTTGTGTCATTTGGAATCCAGAGACCTTTATATATTTTGATACTATAGAAAAAGTCCAGAAACGATTATTATTAATTAATTTAATACGCAACCATTGAAAGGCCGCCATAATTCCTCGGAAGTGATTTTTGTATTTAACATTCTGAAAGTACCTGAAATTCTCTATACTAGATTTTATTGTACCTGGCGTAAGACTGAGAAGAAGAGACAATCTATTTGGTGTCTCAAACAATTTGTCTCCTCTTCAACAATGTCTCGAAACCGTTAACAAAATGGTGAGGATCTGTGAACTGGATATATTCAGTATTACAGAGGAGACAACTCCTTCTAATGCTCTAATGTTTCTGAATTTTTAACGACCATTTTATTATTTATTGATTTATATTGTTATATTTTATATCTATTTTAACTGTATCAATGATGCCCAATTAATAATATATGTAAGGAACTTTAAAAAAAATTGTGCATCATGTAAGTGGAACCATTTTGTTTGTTGTTCAGTATAAATAAATTTCTATTCTATTAACCTAAGTGATAATAATTTATTGCAAATCAGAATTCGAAGTGTTCAACAAATAATTCAGCTATGCTAGGTGGGTCATCCACCACAACTGAATTTTGAGTAAGTGTAATAGTACTTCCAGTACAAGACTTCTTTTTTTCATCCCAACTCACTATTTATTATATTCAAGTTTTTTTACTTTTATTAATCGTATAATCTATTTTTGTGGGAAAATAACATATTTTTTGGTCAAGTGTTTTTAAAGATAACTTTGAAAATTCAAATAAGTCTATTTACTTGTTTGATGAAACAACGCCACTGCATTAGTATTGCATTTTGAAAATGTCAGAAAGAACTTTTGATAAAAATTCAAAAAACGTATCGAATGGTTGCAAAAAATGCAGAAATAGTACAGAGGGGGTTTTGCTTCCCTTTTTCAAGACTAGATAAGATATAGTCACTTTACGGTACAGTTTCCGGAAAGTGAAGTATAATTAATGATTTTGACATTCACAAACATCCTTTAGTTAGCGATAAATTAAAAATAAATTTCCAATTGATTATGTTGGATGAACAAGATTTTTTATTTTATATATATTGTTTCTCTATTGACTAGTTTCATCATCATGCTTGACCACAGCAAATATGATCATATTTAGAAAAATCCCTTAAATTCTGCTTTTTTTTCTACATTTCTGTGGAAGTTTAATCCACTATATAATACAAAATAGAATTGATAAATATTCAAAATGTGACTCACATTTAGGTTCGTGTATAGCATTTCACTGATTTTTTCAAAAGTCTATTACACTTTTTTGTCACTAATATTATGCTTAAAACACATTCACAATAGACTCAATAAAAATCAATTCATTTATTCACTGCTTTTTACATCAAAACTGCATGATATCTAAATGAGAACTGGTTTTTACCAGTTTGAAATCTATTGTTTCAAAAAATATTAAATCATGGCCAACTTCTCAAATTTATTGAAAAGAGCGTTCGTTGAGAAAATCAGTTGAGGCTGTCGACAGCGTTGCCAGTTTTACAAAAATTACGAAGAATGCTTGAAAAATATTGCAGAACAAATTGAACTATAAACTGATATAGGGTGTTTCCTTTGAAAAAGCTACACATGTAAAAGTCACAGAATTGATTACGGAAGGAATTCATTTCCTTCCAGTTATAGAGGGAAATAAATTTTTAATATTTTGAAACATTTCATAAGTAGGTGTCATTTTACATACTGTTAGTATGAAATAATTCAGTAGTTAGGGACAAGTAGTATGCCTAATAATAATAATAATAATAATACTGACAATCTTTATCGTTTCCAAAAACAGAATTATAACATTCATTTGGCTTGGTCAATAAAAAAATGCAAATGGGTGAAATTTGACTTATAAGAAGTAGTTTTGAGTACCTACTTCAGTTAGATAATTGTGTAAAATGTTCCCTCTCAAGACTCATACCTTCTACTAAAATCACAAAAACTTCATGGTTGACAAAGAATGGCACTAAGATTATAGGACATTCAAAATTATCAAAGGTGATGGATATTATTTAATAGTATTTTGTGTTACAAGTGCANGGTACTTTTCAACATAGAGTACATGTTCCACAAGGTAGAGGATTTGACAGTAATAGTTCTGCTGTAACACCAGCTGTTGCATTGGAAATTTCATAAGGCACATTTTCAAACTCGCTATCGCTGCTGCTTTCCATAGTTTATTATGATAACTGCGAGCAAAAACCATGCAAACTTTCGAAAATCAAAATATCAACTAGCTGTCAGTCGTTACATCGCTGCTATGGTAATGATCAGCTGCTTTTATCAAAACCATATCTACCAAGTATTTCATAATTACAATGACAACAATTCATTTATTTACTTATTTATTTACAGCTTTGGCAACTCGGCAGAACAAAAGTTCCAATTATAAGACTCACACAGAAGTTACACAATACACTGATGTGATTCTTTCCAGACTAGTCTGGGAAGTACCTTTACTTTCCAACAGTCAAATTATAAGTTATACACTTGTTTTGTTATATTTTGCCTTCTCCTGGAGACTTACACAATTTAGTAAATTTCGAAACCTAAGTTTCTAGAGAGGTTTAGATTAAATAAAAAATAGATTGTGTCCATCTACAGCTTTATATGAAATGCGTTGATTATTATCATTATTAATAAATACTTGTTATTCTGATAAATAATTTCTTGAACTGATTACAGGAATTGAGACCAGAGACTACAGACCATTTAATGTGTGGAATTGCATATGATTCAGCTGCGAGAGGGTAAGCAAACTTTGTTATCATTTATTATTACAAAGTTATCTATTTGCTAACATTTTTACTCACATTTCAACATTCCCACACCTGATGCCTGCTATTTATGAACGAGATCTTCATTTAAAGTTTGACAATTGAAAAAGGTTCCCTTTCAAAAGTAGGGAATGATACCTCGGAAATATTACTCAATCTTTTAATCCTTCAAGAACAAAGTTTGATCTTGATAAATGTTATTTTGGTTAATATAATATAATACAATGAATATTGAAAATGTAGCTGATGTTCCTTTAACATTGGCATAATCAAACCATAGTAGAATCTGGTCAGCTACTGTGCTTACCAACTTACTAATTTTAAAATGACCCCCTACCCTGCTGAAAACAACTAACTACTCTTCCCCTGCTTTTTTATTTTTTTGAGTTTCTTTAACAAACGAGGGCCTCAAGTGAGATAAAAGATAGGACCTTGTAAAATTTGTAATGCACTGTTTCGAACCTTTGATGTAGTAATGAATATTACTGGAATTTCTTCTTGAAGATAATCATATGGTGATCAAAACACGTGTCAAGGTGTTAAAAATAACGTCTTGGTGTTGGGATAAAACTCTTGTAATATTCTTTACCTTGTATGATGATGAGTCTCCCCATTTTATACCTGCATATTTTGATTTTTGCAATCGGAATTTCGTTTAGTAGAGTTTGGTATTTGATTTCTTACACATTACATACAACAAAAATCGATTGAGAATCCTCACAAATTAATTTGGCCTGAAAAATCATAACGTATTCATTATAATGATCATTAAACTGAAATGAATCATAATAAGTCATTCCTTGATTTTGCAATTCTCATTGCTATTATATTTGTTAGATTTCCTGATTGCATTCATTATTTGATACTTTTTTTTTTCATAAAATCAATATTTTTTTACAATAAATAATAGTTCAACGTTATTGGCTCATCGGTGTACTAATTCACTTCCTCTGCCTAGAAATCCTGATCCAGTTGATTGCAATTATTTTGCATCCATGAGAACATCTGAAGAATACGATCCGATTCAGGAATACCAAAGGCGAATGAGCGAACTATATGGTGAAAAACCAAAAACCAAGATGGGAACTTACTTTCATGATTAAGTGAGTAATTTTGTTTGTTTGTGATATGTTTGTGATATGATGATACAGTAGAACACATGCGCCTGCCCTATTTTGCAGAGCGAATTAGGTTCTCACAATTTGGCCAAGTTTTATTCTTGTCACTTGACTCAAAATATCACCCACCAAATAAAGCAATCGCGGCTTCATTAAGAATCTGAACTTATATTTGGCCAACTCACTTTGGGTCCAATCTAAAATACATAGCAAAAGAATGCTTTATAAATGGCCGTGTATCAAATATATCCATGAGTTCTCTCCATAAAGTGGGACGCCTAATCCACATGAATAATTTCACAAACCTAAGCTTGTTGAATATATTTTTTAAGCAATGCTACAGGAGGAATGTCTACCTATATGTCTAGAGTTGAATGTGAATCATTTAATATTTTGACGACGTGGTGAAAATTAAAAATTCATGGTTGTACCACAATCCTTTTCGAATTCGATTTTAGGTTATAACTTCAGACGTTTCTTTGTACAACTAGAGCACTAGGAAACATAATCTTGAGGCAGATTTTTATTTGAAAGGCTTCCTGTCATAAGTTTCACATTAAATTCCTCTAGAATATTCAGGCAATAGTAGATATTTCCAAATTCAGAGCATTTTCATAGGCTACTATAAAATGAAACAAATTACTTAGGTAACTGATAATATTTAGATTTTTTATTCTAGATTTATTTTCCTAAATGTTCCCACTAATATCAACCAATTTTTCTCTGGTCCTTCATGATTGAAGACCTGTATCTATTTCCAAATGATTTGAATGCAGACATATTCTTATTATATTTGAATATAACTTATCTTTTCAATCGGATTTGTCTGTCTTTGAATTGAAAGGCAGAAGGATCCCCGTAAATGGTCAGTTGAATAAAACCAGTAGTCTAAGTACATATCTTAAACATTAATATAATCCAGTTGTAGGAAAATGTTATTGGTACTACATTCTGAGAATAGTAAGTAACAAAAATATGTTTTACTTGTCAGTATCAGTAGAAACAAACAATTATATTGTAATGAAATGAACATTCTGTACAAACCAGGAATCGCTAGACAGGTGGAAAATCACTTTCCAAACATTCCTGCATCAAAACAATATTGATCAACAATTGTAGTCAAATTTAGACCAACAATATTTTTAGATCATCTGATTGGGTTCATGCATACCTGAGTACCCAAATAAACTATTAATATCCTTGAAATGTCAATAATATTTGAAATTGGTTATCAGTCACAGAAATAAGAATGATAAACTTCCATAACTTGAATACATCTTTTTCTTTTCAGTTTTCGTTCTTTTGGAGTCGAACGATTTTTCATTATTCAAGCACGCAACCCCCACACATCAAATGACACCACACTAATAGCAGCGAACATGTAGGACTTTTTGCCAACTTCTAGTGTGACTTCGAGCAAAATGCAGGACTTTTTGCTAACTTCTGGTGTGACTTCGAGCTACTGCGATCATTCTCAATTGCATTTTTGTCACCCAGGCCTCATTACCAGAGCCTACAATTCATTTGAAAACACTGTTTTTTTTGCATTTTAGAGAAATCTGTTTTATTTCACTCTATGTATTTTCTGTCAAATTTGCACAGACTATTATAAACAATTTTTGTTTCTTTGTGTACATTACTCTGAGGTTCCTTATTATGTGTTAAAAAAGTGTATGTGTCGTCCAATGTTCTATACTTTCATTTCAAACTTGTGACGTAAATTGTATTTCAGTTATTACATTATATTTTCTTATTCTCATTTAGTAAATTTTATGTGCAATTGTAAAGAATTTGTCCTTTTGTAATAGATTACTTGTTTATTTAAATTGTTCTTCAATCAACACGATTTGAAATAACTAACCAAAAATCACATGTAAGCATGACACTTTTTCTCTCCTCTTGAAGATACCTATTTATAAACAAATTACTGCTTTGAAGATGGGATATTGTGGAACAACAATTATGTGTCCAATAAGATGTATATGAAAAAATTCAGAAAAGCAATTGTAGGTACTTGATCGACTAGCTATAATGTTATTCGCAGAACCAAATGCAAATATTTTAGCAAATAAATCGAATAACTTGAGGAAATAACTCACCCAAACTAAGGTTTGAAAATGAAATGGATACCTACATTAACAAAAATAAAAAGTGACAGATGAAAAATTCAACAAACGTTGAAAAATCAGTCCTATCACCTGAGGAAATGGATCTGAATATAATTTTGGTCTATAAAGAATTTTCATGAACATAATTACCAGTAAAAATACATAAATAAACCAGTATTACAAATTCAATTAAGGTAATTTTAAGAGTTATTATTTTTATTAATAAGTTGAAATGTAATATTTCTGATTTTTGTTTGAAGGATTCCGACTTTTACTAATGTGAACCATTTCAAGAATTAATCTTTTAGTTTTGTTATTTTATACAGACAGGATTCTGGTATTGTTATAGTCCATAACATGGTTTAGCAGAGCATGTAATTTCGGAGGGTCACGTTATGGATACAAAAACGCAACACGTGTTTCGTCATACAATGGCTTCTTCAGGCGTGTCTTTAAAGACATGCCGTTGTGTGACGAAACGCTTGTTACATTTTTGTAAAACTGTTCTCTCACGATAAAGTATTTCTTGAATACGTTATGGATCTTCATAAACCAGTCCTTTAATTCTGGAATATTTCTCAAATAAATAAAACCTCAATTATGTCCTATGAGGAATAAATTCTATTCTATTCTAGTGCAGAAAGGGGGTGACCCTATTGATCCTTCTATTGTCCAATTATACCTACGATTTCAAAGATTTTTGAAAAATTAGTGGAAGTAATATTGTATATCTTTACCAAACAAGCCAAATACAAAAATATTTATTTAAACATTACAAATATAAAAAACTAAAAAACTATGTTCTTGAAACAAATACATCTTCGACTTGGGAGGGGTAAAGGAATCAATGTCGTTCAGTTTCTTCTTAGGGAGGCCTGACCTGCAAGGTTAATTTTCTGTTTTACCAGAAATTTGCAATTTTCGTATATCTATTAACAAGGGAGCGTAGTTGCTGCTGTATAATTTTTATGAGAAGATAGAAATATTTAGATACAGTTATACTTTTTCAGTATGGTTGATATCAAAGACGCAGGTGAAGGGGGGCTGCTAAGGCTACAGCAATAGATTTGAAAATTTTTGTTGTATTCACTTAAATTATCACTTTAATTTCCATATACCTATTTATTCCGTATTTTTATTTTCTATGACTCTTTATTCCAAACGTATCTCTGCGAATTCTGTGGAGAGACTGATATTTAGTAAAAAACATTGTTCTCACTTTGCTATAACGCACTAAAGTGAGAGACTGTGATCTGCTGTGTTATCACAGTATATTTCTAGAATATACCTACAGGCAAGGGAGAGGAAGTATTAGACCAGATATCAAGATCGGACAAATGTTATAAAATGCATAATTTTCAGTATTTTTTGATAAAAGACAATAGAATAACATTGAGACTGGCCGAAAATCCATAATGTATTCAAGTAACGCTAAACACTTTACAAAACCGCAACACGTGTTTCGCTATAAAATAGCTTCATCATACATATTCATAGTATAAACTGCGTTGCGGTTTTGTAAACTGTTTAGTGAAACTCTCCCAATAAAGTGTTACATGAATACAATAAATAGTACCTATAACGTCACCGTCGATAGAACACTATACACTTTTTTCTTATACAAGAGGGTCTTGTGACAGCTCGTTTGATAGGTCTTCCAATTATTTTTCCAACACTGGCCCTATTTTGAAAGTATATTCACTCAGTTTTCCTGAGTAATAAGCAGTTTTATAATATTTCTGAAAGCCTGTGATGATAGTATCAAAACGCTAAAAAATACAAAATTTTCGAAAGAAAAATGGGAAACAATTTTCACTTTTGACCTATATTGTTATCCATATAAATTTATGCTATTATTGGCTAATGAGTTACAGTACAAATGATTTGGTGAGATAGACAAAAAATCCACGCAATAAAAATCAAATTGAAAAATTCCTGATCAAATGCATGCCATTGAGATGAACATTACCTTTCCTGGGAACATTATCACTTCCATTCGAATTTCACGAAATGTCAAGCATTTGGCAGTTCATTAATCAACACTTTGAAATACTTTCTTTAAATAAAATATGTAATATGTATTGGACGAAAGTCATTTTTTGTGAGAGAAAATCAGTTTTTTATCGACCTCCTTTGGGTATTTTCACCTTCCACAATATGAAAAATATGAGAATAATAACGGAGAACTTTATATACAGCAAGAGGGGTTCGAACCTATAGTGAAACATTTTTAAAATTTTTATTTAGAATATATTATATTTTTTATTCACTACATTTTCTAATAATCAAATAGCCCATCAACACTGATAAGTAGGTACTCATGCATAACTTCTTCAGAATTATGTACTATTAAAACAGTAATATACTGTTTGTTCTTCTAATTACAAGTTTGTAGTTTTCACCAACAGACACTTGTAGTAATTTAACTTTTTCTCTCATTCTTGAATGTTGTGTCTACTTTTCATCAGTTTATAAGTTAATTATATAGTTTTATACTTATCTCTATTATTTTTTCATACCTGTTAAATTTCTCACCTTCATAAGGACCTCTTTCGCGTATCTGAGAGTTTTTCATGTTCACTCCTAGACGGGACCTAAAAAATAGTGTACCGAATAATCGTCGAACCGATGAAGGCTAATAAAGTCCAATCTCCACGATTGGACATAAACTCCAATCGTTACCCTCTGGGTCATACTAATTAATGTTCTTGTGCTTATTTTTACATAAGCCGGCCACTCGGAGGACGCACCGGCATTACCAACCGATAACCACTCCCCATACCGTGGATTGAGTGTTCATTGGGTCCGATAATCGTCTGTTGTGAATAGATGCAATGGACCAAGAATGATAGCCTTCAGCATCTGCCCGGCCAAGATTTCTGCCTTACCATGGACTTCAACAAGAACAATCATTTGATAAGAGTCTACCCAACTCAAATCTCGATCTCGATATTCATCCGTTTTCTTCTTCTTTGCGCCTCACGTGAAGTTCAAAACTTCACGATGAATATAATAATAATTACAGTAGAACAGCAACAGTAGAATATGAATAACAGTATGTCGCGTCATCATTTGGTGCCCCCCAAAAACTGTCGCCCGGGGCGTGTGCTCCCCCTTTGGATCCGGCCCTGCTCACAATAATCAATTGATAATGATTTTCTATTGAAAATAATAATTTCAGTCTTCCACAGTTTGTTTTTTTAAAATCAATTTGACATCCTATTTATTTTCAAAAGTATTTTTATCGAAACTCCTAATTGGTATCTCAAAAACTTCTAGAAAATATTGTTCTGAAGTCTAAATCCAGAGTGAGCGCCCTTATTCAACGTTTACCGGAAAATTTCAAATCTCAAACATCACGAAATCAAATATAATGCATTCGAAAAACATTTAGTTATTCCTTCTACCACAACTGGGCTGACTCATGTTTCCAAAAGCATAGTTTTCTTTAGTGCGAATCCGCCAATGAGCGCCAACTGAGCGCCAATGAGCGCCAATGACCGTGGACTGGAAAGGGCAAAATTCTATGCAAATGCAAATATAAACCGAATGGACTACCAGAGTGCGGTAGTACGTCTTTTCTAGTTTCTTTTGTGTTTATTGTGAATTGGGGCAGAAGTTTGTGTTGTGATTTTTATTTTAAATATGGCTTCATCAACTGAGCCTCTGTTCGACATGGCTTTACACAAAATGATATGTAGCAAAGGCGATTATTCGTCAATGTACGATATTTCTCATGTAAATGGGCAATTTATTGCCACGTTTAAACATATTTCGCGCCCTCGTCGTGGGACAGAGATATACATAAGGAATATTCCCGTTGACCTACTTCTTCAAGATATACTAGAGTTTGCCATAAAAGCCGGGAATATTTACCAAATCAGAATTCTTATCGAATTCAGTGGCTATAACAGGGGATATTGTTTCGTCAGTTATTTCGACGTTAGATCTGCAAGAAAGGCTGTGGTACTACTTGACGGCGAAAAAATAAATGGATCTCCAATTGGCGTCACATACTCACTCGACAACCATCGCTTAGAGCTGTTGAATGTACCAAAAGAAATTAATTCCGAAGAAGTTTTACAAGAGGTATCTAAAATTATTGGAAATGGGTTGCAATCAGTACAACTAATGAGACAAACGGAAGAAGAAAATGCTGAAACCGACAAATATTTGTTGAAATACGAAAGCCATAAAAAAGCAGTTGAAGCTAGAAAGAAGGTTTATCCAACTTTTCAAATTTTTGGAAAAGACATACAAATTGAATGGAACATTCCTGTAGAAAATAAGGTAGGGTTTCACATATTCAGTTTTTTTTGTTCTTGACAAAGAAGGTACCTATTTAGATGGTGGGATAATATTTATTTAACATTAGTCACTTTGATAACATTGAGTTGAAGTACGCAATGTACAACTCTGAAGAATTAATAACAGAAATAGTGAGGTTGTAACTGTGTGAGTGTTTGATATGTAAAAAGTGAATTACATATAGAAAAAATTGAATATTAGGTAAAAATAGTAGATATTAGCAAAATCACTAATATGACAATTTTTTAAAGTTTGAGAGTTGTATGTACCTGAGATAAAAACTTTCACAATAACCTTGAGAAAAGTGGAAATTTCTCAATGATTCCAAGTAACCATAGGGAGAAGCTAACATAAAATTTTTACTTACCATATTCAGAATACTTTTTGTGAATACCTACATACCTATATGAATATATTTTGAACGAAATCGGAATAGAGGATTTTTTTGACATATTTTTGCTTAGGTATATCTCAGTTGATAAATGATCGTTGATGAATTTTTCAATGAACGGTGGCACATAGATAATATGTTCAAGATGGAAAAAAATGGAAAAAATAAAAACTAGTTTTTTGACATATTTTTGCTTATATCTCAGTTAATAGTAGATAATCGTTGATGAATTTTTCACTGAATGATAGCAAATTATTCATAGATAATATGTTCAAGATCAAATCAATTTGCAGTGCCGTCGGGAAGGGTGGAAAAAATAAAAACTAGTTTTTACATATTTTTGCTAAAGCATCTCAGTTAAAAGTGCATGATCGTTGATTAATTTTTCACTGAAATAGGTATGGCAAATAATTCGTAGATGATCAATTTGCAGTGCCGTCGGGGAGGGTGGAAAAAATAAAAACTGATTTTTATGACATATTTTTTGCTTATATCTCAGTTATGAGTGAATCGTTGATGAATTTTTCACTGAATGGTAACACATTATTCATAGATAACATGTTCAAGATCAAATCAATGTGCAGTGCCGTCGGGGAGGGTGGAAAAAGTAATAACTGATTTTTTTTGACATATTTTTGCTAACATCTCCGTTAATAGTGGATGATTGTTGATGAATTTTTCACTGAATGATAGTAGATTATTCACAGATAATGTGTTCAAGATCGAATCAATTTGCAGTGCCGTCGGGGAGGGTGGAAAAAATAAAAACTAGTTTTTTGACATATTTTTGCTGACATCTCAGTTAATAGTGGATGATCGTTGATGAATTTTTCACTGAAATATAACAAATAATTCATAGATAACATGTTCAAGATCAAATCAATTTGCAGTGCTTTCGGGGAGGGTGGAAAAAATAAAAACTAGTTTTTGTGACATATTTTTGCTGACATCTCACTTAATACAGGATGATCGTTGATGAATTTTCCACTGGAATATTGCAAATAGGTAATTCGTAGGTGATCAATTTGTAGTGATGTTGGGGAGAGTGGAAAAAATAAAAACTGATTTTTTTGACACATTTTTGCTGACATCTCAGTTGACATGATCGTTGATTAATTTTTCACTGAAATATTACAAATAATCATAGATAACATGTACAAGATCACATCAATTTGCAGTGCTGTCGGGGAGAGTGGAAAAATAAAAACTGATTTTTATGACATATTTTTGCTTATATCTCAGATACGAGTAATAGTAGATGATCGTTGATGAATTTTTCACTGAATGGTAGTACACTATTCATATAGATGACATTTTCAAGATCAAATCAATTTGCAGTGCCGTCAGGGAGGGTGGAAAAAATAAAAAATAGATTTTTTGACATATTTTTGCTGATATCTCAGTTAATAGTGGATGATCGTTGATTAATTTTTCACTGAAATATTACAAATAATCATAGATAACATGTTCAAGATCAAATCAATTTGCAGTGCCGTCGCGGAGGGTGGAAAAAATAGAAACTGGTTTTTATGACATATTTTTGCTTATATCTCAATTACGAGTAATAGTAGATGATCGTTGATACATTTTTCACTGAATGGTAGCACATTATTCATAGATAACATGTTCAAGATCAAATCAATTCACAGTGCCGCCCGGGAGGGTGGAAAAAATAATAACTAGTTTTTTTGACATATTTTTGCTGACATCTCGGTTAAAAGTGAATGATCGTTGATGATTTTTTCACTGAAATATGGAAAATAATTCGTAGATGATAAATACAAGATCGAATCGATTTGCAGTGCCGTCGGGGAGGGTGGAAAAAATAAATAGTGGATGATCGTTGATGAATTTTTCACTGAAATATGGCAAATCGTTACTGTTAGTGCAAAAGGTCGTATGTAAAAGTTAATTACTTTACAGGGGAGCATAAAAACTGATTATTTCCGTATGATTTATTGGTATGATTTCATTATTATATTTCTGTCTGCTATTTCCATAGTAACTAATGTATAATGTAACTTTTTGAACATTAAATTGATAAATAAGATAATTACAGTAACATACGACTTTTTTCAGTTTTAAATTGGAAGTTAATTTGACATACGACTTTTTTCATATCAACATAGGACTCTTTGCAATTAATGTTTGAGCCTAAATTTACCATACATCCTTTTGCATTTAGGCACATATATCTTTCTGCGCTTGATTTGTATAATTATCAAACCAAGGAGAATTTAAAACCATATTTAAACATACAATTAAACTGATTAAAAAAATATTAGACTTCAAAAATGTATAAATAACTTTTATTAAAAATTTTGTACAAAGAAAATGAAAAATTATACAATTGATTTAATGAATATTTAAAAGATTATCATTTAAGTTTCGACGTATTTTTAGCTTACGTATCAGAAACGTGAGAATTAGAGTTGTTTCAGATTTCAACTTTCATGTTTCTGATGAGGAAGTTAGAAATGATTTGAAAGTATTAAATCATAAATCTTCAAAATGATCAAATTCATTGCGTAATAATGTAAGGGCACATTGTTTCTGAGCAATTATTGTGACGGAGATTATCATAAAAAAATGATGATCTTCTTCAAGGCAAGTTTTCAGGTCTTGGAGGTCCTTAAACTTTCGTACAGCACATGTGAGTAACCTAACCTCTTTGTTGTCCATCAAGGTAATATTGTACATACGACTTTTTGCAGTAAAAAAAATCTGCTGCACAACATACGACTTTTTTACATTTAACCATATCCTATAATAGATCAGCTGATAACATACAATATTTTTGTAGCAGTTGCAGACTGCAAAATGCCACCTTTAGCACGAATAAAATGAAAATGGACAATTTTTACATACGACCTTTTGCACTAACAGTAACGAAATAATTCGTAGATGATCAATTTGCAGTGCTGTCGAGGAGAGTGGAAAGAATAAAAACTGATTTTTTGACATATTTTTGCTGACATCTCAGTTGATAGTGGATGATCGTTGATGAATTTTTCACTGAAATATGACAAATAGCTCATAGATAACATGAAGAAGATCAAATCAATTTGCAGTGTCGCCGGGGAGAGTGGAAAAATAAAATCTGATTTTTATGACATATTTTTGCTTATATCTCAGATACGAGTAATAGTAGATGATCGTTGATGAATTTTTCACTGAACGGTAGCACATAATTCATATAGATAACATGTTCAAGATCAAATCAATTTGCAGTGACGTCGGGGAGGGTGGAAAAAATAAAAACTAGTTTTTTTTGTATTTCACTAGGTTGGACTTCCATTGTCTACTATATAAAATGATTTGAAATCTCTGAAACAACTCAAAAAAAAGAATTGAAAATGAATAGCTGAAAATAACAATTATATTAACCAAAATAAACCTGAAATGAAATAATAGTGAAATAAAATACAAGTAAAAATAGAACAATTGAATAAATAAAAATAAAGAAATGAAAAAAGAAAAATTTCACTATTATTTCATTTCAGGTTTATTTTGGTTAATATAATTGTTATTTTCAGCTATTCATTTTCAATTCTTCTTTTTCAGTTGTTTCAGGGAATTCAAATCATTTTATATAGTAGACAATGGAAGTCCGAACTAGTGACATTCATCATGAAACATTGTCAATCACCTTCAAACAAATAGTTTTTTTGTCATATTTTTGCTGACATCTCAGTTAATAGTGGATGATCGTTGATGAATTCTTCACTGAATGCTAGCACATAATTCATATAGATAACATGTTCAAGATCAAATAAATTTGCAGTACCGTCGGGGAGGGTGGAAAAAATAAAAACTAGTTTTTTTGACATATTTTTGCTGACATCTCCGTTGATAGTGGATGATCGTTGATGAATTTTTACTGAAATATGGCAAATAATTCGTAGATGATCAATTTGCAGTGCCGTCGGGGAGGGTGGAAAAAATAAAAACTAGTTTTTTTTGACATATTTTTGCTGACATCTCAGTTAATAGTGGATGATCGTTGATGACTTTTTCACTGAAATATAGCAAATGATTCATGACTAACATTATTTGCCATATTCCAGTGGAAAATTCACTAACGATCATCCACTATTAACTGAGATGTCAGCAAAAATATGTCAAAAAAAATTGTTTTTATTTTTTCCACTCTCCCCGATGGTACTGCAAATTGATTTGATCTTGAACATGTTATCTATGAATAATTTCCTACCATTCAGTGAAAAATTCATCAACGATCATCTTCTAATAACTGGGATGTCATCAAAAATATGTCAAAAAAATCAGTTTTTATTTTCACCACTTTCCCCGACGGCTCTGCAAATTGATTTAATCACGCAACTATCAAATAAAATCATCTGAGAAATTAAAATATATTGATAAATTACGAATCTTTAATTTCTATTACAGTTAGGGTACCGTTGAAGTCTACTCAAACTATCATTTTTCTATATTACAATCTGGGTCATGTATAATTATACATATATAGCCCATTTCTTTTGTCATGTGGTAACTTTGCTATATTCCAATGATATGAATGAATGATATGAAGTCGAATAAATGAAAAAAATAACTACCGTAATGCCCTTCTCGACTTATACAGAGAAAAATGCTGTTTTATTTTTTACGAATGGAGTTTTTACTTCAGAAAATATTAAAAATGAAAGTCTGCTCAAACTTTTTCCCCGTCTCCCCTTGCAAAAATAATAAACAACCAAATAAAAAAAATGAGCTTTGGTTTTTTGTAAATAACTCAAAAACTATTTGACATTTTTCAAATTTGAATAAAGATCGGAATAGGAACAAGATGATACTGAAGATTATGAGCCACTATCTAAAAAATGTTCTCAGAAAAGGCTAATCTAAAATGGAATTTGAAAAAACTTTCATTAAATGCAAACAATCATTGATAAAAAAATTGAAATAAACACAATTTCCAGTTTATTTTTAGATTATAGAAATTTTTTGCTTATTTTTATTCATAATTCATAAACTAATAGATTTGAAGTTATGTGAGTAATATATTCAAATTTATTATAGTTTATAAGATAATTGAACATACCTACAAATTGAAAAACTAATTTCCTGATTTTTTTCATAAACGAATGCAATGAATGAAGTGAATAATTGGATAGCAGTTTGAATTTTGGGCTCAATTTGTTCGTTAATTAATAGAGAATAAATAAATCCTAAGTTTTTTTTATCGTATCTCAATTAATTTATAAGTTATAATGAGTTTAAACAGGTGAGAATAATTTTTCAACAAATAGCAGATAAAAATAAAAAAAAGCATTTTCAAGTAGCTTCTGATCATAAAAAAAACGGATCGATGGTAATATTATGAAAATATTTTCAATGATTTATTGAACCTTTTTAAGTGAATTGTTGATAACTAATTTTTTATTTTTCCAATGGGATTTTTATGATTTTGCCTGATTGGGTGTGTATTATATCGAAAACAGAAATATTTCTGAATAATAATGAGCCATTATGGTGCCATTAATAAGTGTGTAGTTATTTGTTGTGATTTTCCGTTTTTTTTTGTAGAGTAAACGCCTATATTTTGCAAATGCTCAACCTGGAGTAAGAAAATCAGAGCTATATGAGGAGATTGTGCGGTATGTCGATCCCGAGAATATTTTGAACATGTTTATGAGGAAAGGCTATGGATACATCTTATTTATAAATGAAAAAAAGGCATTTGAATCTCTCGTAATATTGCGGACTAAGAAATTATGTGGAACTCAGTTGAAATTTTCCTTCTTGGAATTCCGTAACACGTGAGTTTATACTGATTACAATTTGTTTGAGATACTGTTGGTTTTACACGATAGATTTTCAATTACTTTTGTTGATTATCATTATATTGTCAACTTGAGAATATTGTAACAAATTAAAGAATTAACTGTCTTAAAAAAATTATTTCCAACAATATTTCACTAACCACAAACTAATTTATTTACAACACTCAGCAACTAACTAAATTTCTTGTTTAGCCGCTCGATGCACTTTCTGAACTGCCCTCTTGGATCGGAAAGACGTGCTTATATCGGTAACGGTCCTTTCTAGAAATCAGTAGAATCAGAAAAGTTGGGAGGTAACAATTATGACACCTGGAACCTTTAGATGGAGACAGTCTTGATAAAAAATGATCATTGGTCTTATGCAAATGATAAACGATAAAACCAGGCAAGGCAGCAGCATAGGAAAGTCGACCAGAAAGCAAAATCTGATATAATTCTATAAGTGTATGCATCCGAATTATGCTATGCAAACTGTGAAATGTTTATGACTCTCACGGTTCAGCTAGAAAGACAAATCTCCTAAAACGAGTTTTATTTTAAAACTGTCACAAGAAGAATACTCAAAGCAAGATCACTTAAAAAACTTCTTTGTCACCGTTGATAAACTAAACGAATTAGGAATTGATTTTTATAGCTGCATAGTGTACAAAAATCTACGAAAATTTTTGCTAGTTCATAGAGTCAAGGGACGAATTACCAAAGCCAGAAACCTGAAGATGAAACTTCTTGATGAATTCAGTGCAAGAAATGGCAATGAAAATATTTTTCGCAGCGCACCATAAGCAAAATACAAAAACCAGAGGAAAGGATTAAATTGGCAGTCAAATTATAAAAATTTCGAGATGAAAAAGGAAGGACGATTTTCACCAATAAATTCTGTTGCGAGTGTAACAGTTTGTGATTCATCACAAACCAGGCCATAAAGGAATCGAGTGATCCGAGTGCTGTAAGAAGATAGGGCAGAAACAATCCGCATCAAATGTATGAAAAGAATCATTAATGATGCAATGTACTGAAAACTCCTTGATAAAGAAATTGCAACATTCCACAGGCTCTCACTGCAGGTACAACTGAAATATAAGTTGAGTGTTTGGACAGTGGTGGCATGATATATCCAGTTTCCTTATTTTGTTGAAGTAAAGTACAACTCACAATAGGTAAAACTGCAGATATCATCGGGAAATGTATTGTCCATTCAATTGTTTCTGGAGGTAGTGAGGTGCAAAACTTGTGATTGGAAAACACTATCTATATGTTCCTGACATCAAAACTATATAGTCTCTTGCGTTTATCTCCAAAATATAAAAAAGCCAAAATTTTCTAGTTTCAAGAAAAATTGATGAAGTTTTAAATGAGCAATAGCAATTAGATAAGGTGGATTTGTATTATATCCGAGCTCAATCAGAAACAACAGCTTCAGTTAGTGATGAGATCTGTGAATTAGAAAAACGGTACCAATGTTCTGGACATCTGAAAGAAAATGATCTCGAGAAATTGAAAATGTATGATTCAATTAATGGAACATCCTTTGATCTGTGATGTTTAAGTTATTGAAAAAGAATATCATCAAATGACCAGTAAACTCGTGTCAACCATATAAATTGCTGGGACCAGAGGGCAATTATCCAGTAATGCTGCAAACAGTACCAGAACTTCTACTACATATATTCTACAAGAAAAACTACAAGACCAATCTACACACAATTTCGTGTAGTACGAGTGAAAAATAATGTTGAAGAATCTCATTTAGGTATAAAAATACCGGATGATCCAATTGGAAAAAGTGAGAATACCCTGTACGTCCATTTCAGGAATCTAAAGGTCTATAATGTTCACAATCATCTCGCCAACTAGTAATGAAAATATTTCCTCAATTTCTATAAATGTGATAGAGGTGATTTTTTTACAAAGAGTTTAAATATAGTTTTTTTTCAAATAAAACATTCTTCTGAGGCTGATGCTTATCCACTGAGTGTGTCATTGAAAACAAAATAGCTTTGGTTCGCCATGTTCAACAAATCATCCAGTACGAGGAAAACTAATTTGGAAGATAATCATGATGACGTCCCATGCAAAACAAATGAAGAGTTTAAAATATTGTGTTCGTAGAGCAATAATTAATATAATTTTCCTACCAACGTTAATACATATTTGTTAATTGTAAGTTGAAAATTTTGTTGCTGTGCTCGCGAAAAAATTTCTACTTATGATTTTGATGAGTTTTTATTTTGCAGTTATCAAAGGGAAAATGATTTCTCAAGCAGAGTTGAGGATGATGAAAACGGAAACGAGAAAACAGTAAATATTTCGTATTTAAGAATGTCTTCATTATTATCTATGTTTTTTTGTTATCAGGTAACATACATTGAAGATGGAGCTGCTGCTCAACAACAATCTGCTTCAGGAGATGAACGGGTAAGGATATCATTTCTAAGAACTATTCTCAACAAAATGTTCCATTACAAAACAGGTTCACCTAATTCAAACCCAAAAATTACATGAACTACAGATACTATTCAAGGTACTGTTTTGTTATTTCACTGAGATTTCCTTGGATTATTATTATTTTATACTATAGGTTTCCTTCAGATTTTATTCAAGGATAGGTTTAGCTTAATAATTAAATAGGAGAGTAAATATGTCAACTGTCTTGAGCTTGTCCCTAATTTAAAAAAACAATCAAACCAAATATGATTTATTTATAAATATTCTGTAAGTTCATGAATTGAGAACTTGTGCTCTTCTGATAGTCATCAAATGAATGGAAAAATATTGGAAAGTTCATGACGATATATATAAAACCGCGTGCGCAGAAAAAATTCTTCGTCTTTTTGCTGATCTGTCAATAATAGGTATAATGTTTGTTGAAGGTGGTTGACAATGTTTCGTGGTGCAATTCATTAGTTGGGACTTCCATTGTCTAATAAGATTAGCTGAAAAAAACGATTATATTAAGCAAAAAAACTGAAATTACAATGAAATAAAATACAAGCAACAACCAAAAAAAATTAAAAAATTGAACTATTAACAGGAATGGAAACTAAAAAAAATTATTAACAAGAAATGAAAATTTAAAATTGAAAGATTCCAAGCCAAGTTACTTCACGACGTTTCGATTGTTAGTATCCACAATCGTCTTCGGGTGATGACTGGACTTATTATAGGTCATTCGAGTGCTTTCACCTATCCCCTCTTCCCTCTCTCCGCTTCATCGGTTTTAGCGGGAGCTGACCGTTTGGCGGGAGTTGGAACTTCCTTTGTATTCCTCGAAAAGGAACTAGCATCATCAGAAATGACCTTCAACGGAATGGTTACTCCAAAGTGATGGTGGAACAGACTTCAGCTACAAGACAGCAAGAACATCACAAGGAAAAGAGGCCGCCACAACCAGTACTTGTACTTCACTACATCAGAGGATTGTCGTAAAGGATAAGAAGGATTGGGTCCAAGTATAACATTAGGACCTGCTTCAAATCTGGGAACACTATCCGTAGCAGCCTCACGAAAACCAGGCCACCAAACGCAGACTGCGATTCCAAGAATTGCATTTACCGGATACCCTGCGAGTGCGGAGAATCATACATCGGTGAAACTAAGAAACCATTGAAAGTTCGCATCGCCGAGCACAAGAAACACACACAGCAAGGAGAAACCAGCAGATCCGGAATAGTAGACCATGTTTGGACTCATCAACATAACATCAAGTGGGTTCAAGCTGAAATCATCCACAAGGAGGAACACGGGTTCAGGAGATAATTCAAAGAAGTCGCATATATGTTGTTCAACAACTCATTTAGCCAAGCTAGCGTAGAGATACGCTATATATAGAAACCTCTAATCAAGCGAAACACGACCAACTCCCGCCAAACGGTCAGCTCCCGCCAAACGGTCAGTACCTGCTAAAACCGATGAAACGGTTAGAAGGAAGGAGGGATAAGTGAAAGCACTCGAATAACCTATAAATAGACAGATCTCGGAGGAATAAGTCCGGTTATCAGCTGAAGACGATTGTGGAATCAAACAATCGAAACGTCGTGAAGTAACTTGGCTTGGAATCTTTTAGTTTTTGATTTTCATTTTTTGTTATAAATTTTTTTAATCATCATCTTCTGTTAATAGTTAACATTTTTGATTTTTTGGTTGTTGCTTGTATTTTATTTCATTGTAATTTCATTTTTTTTGCTTAATATAATTGTTTTTTTCAAATTTTTACAGATTATTTTCAGGGATTTCAAATCAATTTATATCATATTAGAAAATGGAAGTCCGAACTAATGAAATGCAAATAATATAATGATAATATTTACTTTGGATAACACTTGGAATAAAATATTAGTATTATGACAACAAAGGATCTGGTAGTCAGAACAAATTAAAGTACATCACAAAACTCACAGTGTTCTTTAAATTGAATTATATTTTTTAGAGCAAAACTTGAATAATGTTGTGTTAGCTTTCGAGATTTTCTCACCATTTCAAAAACTGCAAATGAAAACATAAATTATCTGGGGGGAAATTCTTTTGGATCTAATGAATCTTTCTCGACTTTTACAAGTAATTCAGGAAACGTTTTTTGGTACAGTTGAAAAAACTTTCTCGAATGATGTTTTTTGAATTAACTAATAAAAGCTGAGTGAATGTGATGCGACAAAAATAAAAGTGGTTTCAGTATCAAATTCTCTTGATAATTTCTTTACAGACATTGCAAACTTATCCGACTTCCTATTGGGAACAAGTAATGGTATCAGTGCCACAACCTGCAATTCTGTCTACCCCTTCCGTAAGTAATAATCTTCTTATGCAGTTGATTTATCTAAATATGAATTATACACTAAGTAAATTTCTGTGTGTAAATGATAACTAACTCTTCAATGAAAATCTCGCAATGAAGTGTTTTTAGAATACGTCATGAATTCCATCATATATGTTAAAAAATAGTAGTGTATTTTTACAGAGCTTTACACATTTTTTTGAACAGATAGAAAAATCCCTTCAAGATTTCGCTAATAAGCAATGGATGGAAACAACTAGTTACAGAGAAATTCCTCAAAGATGTTTTTAGAATATTTTTTTTGAATCCTAGAAATTTGCTTCAACAAGATCTTGAGAATTCTAAATGGAATTGTGTGCTCAAAAAATACTTGAAATGTTAACAGCGGCATACGGTGTTTGTACTCTCAAAAACTGTTTACAAGTGGTATAACTCAAAAAATTTAAATTTGGAATAATGAAATTAATGCATGAATACTATCACTAGTTCGGACTTCCATTGTCTACTATATAAAATGATTTGAAATCCCTGAAACAATTAAAAAAGAAGAATTGAAAATGAATAGCTGAAAATAACAATTATATTAATCGCATTCAAAGCAATTTTTGTTCCAATAAATGAAATATGAAAGATAATGCGATTGCGTGAACACTTTTTTTTTTGTTTTTTTCATCTTGATTGAAGCAGAAATTGATATAAAAATAAAGATCACATCACATATTCTAATTGAACTTCGAAGATAGGTTAATTTTTCATTAAATTTTTTTCAGAGCCAACAAGCATCTTGTGCCGGTTCAATTAATGGCATGGTAAGTAGATTATTAATTTTTTTTTTTAATATTTCTGGACGAAATGGAAATAGTATTTTGTTTCATCAGCGGAACAAGTGATGTTTTCTTTGGCGAGCCTGACAAAACTTTGTTCTCCAAATAAAACATACTATTTTTTCTTCAAAAGTGAAAAATGCCAATCTTTCGAAAACATTAGGAGATATTTCAAAATTTGTAATTACTTTTATTGCTGATGGCAGTAAAATCTGTCATTTTAACACTACAAGTAGAACCGTAATCATTGTGATGATTTTGATAGGAGATAAACATCATCTTCAGTATATGAATTTAAGTCACAAAACATGCATTTTTGAGTTTGAAGAAAAAATTATTTACCATTAATCACTTCATCAAATTATACCATTTATAACTGGTACATTTTTTTTAAGAATACATTTTACTCGACATATCAACCACCAGCTCATTATACGCCTGCGCCATTTCAAGTGAGTAAACACATACATTTCAATATTAATACAATTTCAAGATGATCTAATAGATTTCAAGAAACCTTGTGAGGTTCCTTTATATCAGAGTTACATGATATTTCTCTAGGTTTCCTAGATAGATGACACTCATAATAAATTAAAAAACATTTTTAATTGACAAAATGGTTGAGGCTTTCGCGGCCGAGGTTTTTAGTGTCACTATTTTTCGCGTTCGAAAGTCGTGGATTTTTGGAATTTCTTTCTGACGTTTCGCTGGCGCGACTATCTAGCTTCTTCAGAGGTTTATACATCCTACATTAATATTCGATGACAGTCATCGGATATTAATCCAGGATGTATAAACCGATTCATTTCAACGCAGCTTCCTTTAAGAGAATGATTAACTAATAACAGCTCCATCTCGTGAACAAAGCCCTAAGCGAGGACGAAACATCCCATGTACCAATAATTTAACAGAAATCAAAACTTTTCTGAAGACAGATACATATGCAAGAGAAAATAAATATTTCGAAATAGAATCACGAAACATTCATCTATCACAGCTACCTACACCGTGGGTTCTGGTAAACATCTGCCGGAAACAACTACTAACATGTATCGAAATGATCCAAAAATACTGTGTATAAGTTTCACATGAACAATGAAAGTACAGTACAAGACATGTCGTGGATACAATCTTTCAGCATTTATCAGTAATTATCGACCCCCTACGCATTTCGATGGTATTGGGGGTCGAGTAAGACCCCCAATACTACTGTAGAGAAATTTTCCAATCCCTTGACCGAAAGGAGAATGCAATTGCTGCATTTTTCGATATTGAAGGAGCATTCGACAATACACCACCCCAATCACTAGGATCATCCCTGGCTGGAAATGGCATATAATCGACCATACCATGCTGGTAAACAGAACTGTAACTACGACTTCAAGACGAGGCCATTACGTTCAGGGTCACCAGGGGCTGTCCTCAAGGTGAGGTACTATCTCCTCTTCTGTGAATATACTGCTTGATGCCCTCGTCAGATGAGTAGTAGATCTGAAAGGTTATGCAGATGAACTTGTTATCTTGGCAAGGTCCACGTCGGGAAGGGTGGCTTGTAATATCTTCCAAAGTACGATGGACTTTGTTCACAGTTTAACGTCACTTTTCCTCAATGGAACGGTCATTTGAAAAAAAATTTACACAAAGCCAGACTTTGTTTGCTGGTGACCGAAGGTTTCACAGAAAACGGGTCATGCGAACCTTTCTGGCATACAGACATGCTCGTCTGGCCATCTGTGGTGCTATCAGTACCACACCGTTAGTGGCCACTGAGATCCTTCTAGATCTATCCCCTCTCCACATTTTTCTGGCGAGAGGCTAGATGGACTGCATATAGACTTGTGCACATCGCCAATTGCGAAGTCACAGCATTCTGGGAGTGACCTCTGATATTATGCCTACAACAATCAACTACGAACTACCTCATACAGTACTGTTACTTGGTAGAGAAGACTGGATCCCCCTGGAGAAGGAAATATTGAGAGCAGATAATTGTTGGTTCACAGATGGATCAAAAACACCTTCAGGTTTTGGTGCAGGTGTTTTTAGTCGCAGATCCAGGACAAATATATCAACCTGCCTAGGGACCTATGCGACTGTATTTCAAACGGAAATCTATGCAATTGAATTGTGTGCGGAGAGATTGGTAGAATCCAACCTCATACACAAGTCAATACAAATATTCTTAGACACACAAGCGGCGTTGGAAGCTCTTGGCTCCTAACGGGCAACGTCTCAATTGGTAGCAAATTTTCCAAAAACGACTCTCCTCAACAGGAAGACTTAACAAATTGTGTCTGGTCTGGATTCTTGGCCACAGTGGTCAGGAAGGCAATAAGACTGCTGACTCCCTTGCAAAGGAGGGTGCTGCAAGCAGCTTCATCGAACCAGAATATGGCATTGGCATCGCTTTAGGCTTTGCCAAACAAACATTGAACGCCTGGATGGCAAGAAGATTTATGGAGTTTGGGCAAAATCACTCCAAGACGTTCATTCACCCTTCAAAGCCTGAAACCAAACAGTTGTTGGACTACGGTAGAGATGAACTACGATGTCTAAAAGGCCTTCTTACAGGTCACTGTCGTCTGAATAATCATATGCAGAGACTCGGACTGTCGGAAGACAGTCTGTGTCACCTCTGTTTGGAAAAAGGATGAAACAGCAGAGCACATACTTTGTGCTTGCCCCGCTGCGGACAGAATCAGGTTTTCTGAGTTTGGTAGAGCCGCACTGTTATCATCTGAACTGAAAGAGCTCTCACCTGAATAGGTGTGGGTCACAATAAACCCTTATGGGTTGCGGTGGCGTCGAATATACCCACTCCCTTTTGACCTAACTCTAACCTAAGATGTCGTTATAAAGACCTTGACTACGTCTCAGCAACGACTAGTAATAAAAAAGAAAGTTATTAAAATGTACAAATTTGAAATTCAAGTTTGAAACTCCTGAACAGACAACGAGGGGTACATTGATTTTTTGAATTCAGTTAGCTTGCATTTCAATTCATTCTGATTCACTAAACTAAAATCAGGATAAATATCTGTCAGTTCATTTAAACAGTTACATATTGGTATATACTGAGTACAATACAGGGTGTAACTGAATAAGTGTAAAACATTCAAGGAGGTGATTCCTCATCAAAAAAAAAGATAGGATCTTTCATATAAAGAAATTTCATTGGAGCATCCCTTGTTAAGATACATCCTCTTAAAGGGGGTACATAAAATTTGTATAACAATTTTTTTCACAAGCACTAAAAAAGCTACAATATTGAAATTAACCTGACGTTTT